AAAATTTTTCTATGCGCATAAAAAAAACGTGGGCTTAACTATTGGCGGCACAATATGTTAAAAAAATTCGAAAAATGTCATATTTTTCTTCCTATTTAATTATGTATCTTTTCAAGAGTTGATTTTTGGCGAAAGTGGAAGATGAAAAAAATGTTTGTAATTAAATTTTTTACAAAACATGACTAGTTACAAATCGAACGAATCATGATTATGGTAAAAATCGAAAAAATTGGAAAAATGGGGTTAAAAACAATACTTTTTAGGGATTTTTGTTGGGATATTTAAATTGAGTATAGGACCTTTATACTTGCCTCAAGAAAACTTTATGTTATGTAGAATCATCACACCAAATTTCATCAAAATCGTTCGATAGATTTTGCATAATAATTTTGCAATCCAGATTTTGAAAAAAAATTTGCAATTTTCAATCGGACCTCTAGAAGGCGAGATATTAAAAATTTTTAAGTGTGTATGCGGTTTTGAATTCGCCGATTCAATTTCGAGCAGGCCGAAGCGGCCGCGCTCTCTGCTTTCGCCACCACCACCCGTACGATTTTCTTGAATTTCTCGCTTGCATAAATAACAACACGAAGTAGGTTGCCAATGAAGAAAAGTATTGTAATCTTAGACCTGGTAAGTATTCGATCAAAGGTATTTTTCGAAAAATTAGCCCGGATGTCCCAGTACATTTAGTGTAAATGATGGTTAAATTTGATCGGTTATAACTACGTAACTAATTGACCAATCGATCTGTTTTTTTTTTTAAAGAAGCATCTTTCCAAGAACTTTTAAAACCTGCTTTAAAAAATTTGATTTGATTGAATATTCACAAAGTTATTCTAATTGTTTATAAGTACAAAAATTCGACCAATTTTAAACAAACGCCAGAGCTCTCCTAATTGACGGATTCGAATTTTTCAAAAAAAGTTTTAAAGCTTGAGAGCCCTTCTATATGTGATTCAATTTTCAAGTATCTAAGGTCCTTGGTTTTTGCTGTGCAAAATTTTGAAAATTTGCAATTTTTTTTTTCAAATCTGGATTGCAAAATTATTATGCAAAATCTATCGAACCGATTTTGATGAAATTTGGTGTGAAGATTCTACATATGAAGTTTTCTTGAGCCAAGTATAAAGGTCCTATACCCAATTTAAATACCCCGAAAAAATTCCCTAAAAAGTATTCTTTTTTTAACCCCATTTTTGCGATTTTTTCGATTTTTACCATAATAATCATGATTCATTCGATTTGTAACTAGTCATGTTTTGTAAAAAATTTAATTACAAACATTTTTTTCCTGCTCCATTTTCGCCTAAAATCAACTCTTGAAAAGATACATAATAGGAAGAAAAAATATGATATTTTTCGATTTTTTTTAACATATTGTGACGCCAAAAGTTAAGCCCACGTTTTTTTTTATACGCATAGAAAAATTTTAATTTCTAGTGATATTTGAAAGCCAAAAAGCCAAAAATCTCCGTGGATATACGATTCATCCAAACCAAAACAGATACCGCCTAGTCTATAGGTACAGTTGCTTAAAATATATGTATACATTAATGTTCACCCTGTTTATCTTTTATCAAGTAGACGTAGCCGAGGTTCGCATATACAAGTCAGAAGTACTGAAATGGGAATCTATTTGTGAGATAGCGATATCGAAAATAAATAAACTTTTCAACACAACAAAAGTTAACAAAAGTTTATGAAACGAAATTGATTGATCTTAACCTTGGTTTAACTGAAATTTATACTTCCTGTTTCGACTGCGTTCCATATTACGGAACATCTGCTCGCCCCAAGATATTTTTATGAGGTAAAAGGTGAGCCGTAAATGGTGCTACACGTTGCGTGATTGGCAATAATTACAACGGGGGGAGATTGATTGAATACCTTGCTCTCTTATTAATCGCTTTATGACATAACATCTGGGCTATCTGGACATAAGCCACTAGTTGATGGTAAGTCGATTGATCATTGTTGTTTAAATTTCAGCGCTGCTGTTAGATATAAATCCGTGTATATGGGGTGTTTTGAACTCCACGTCGTAACTCTAGGAAAATTATTGCATGATCTAAAGATATTGCTTTTCGAGATACCCAACAATGAAGTTATAAAAAATAAATAAATAAAAAAGTTACACTAAGATTTTTAATTGTTAACGATCTTACAATTCAGTTAACGGAGGAGTATAACAAATAACAAAATATAAATATAATAAACTATAGGTACATTTTTTCTTTCTGAAGTTTTTATGGGTATATAGGTAAGTACATATATCTTTTCATCAATTTTCTTAAAGTTTTTTTTTAAGTAAAATATTACCGATGGATTGTTTTTTCTTTTATTGGAACTACTTGAAACTTTTTATATAAATACCTATTAAATGCATATGCATTTAATAGGTATTTGTTTTATTTTTTCTCCTGTTTTTAGTAAAAAAAAATACACCTAAAGCAGTATTTAAGCAACACATTTATGAAAATTTACAATAATGAATAAATAGCATTTAGAATTCTTGACGTTTCCAGAAATTCTATGATTCAGGGTTTCTTTTAAAGAACAGAGCGATAGCTCAAAAGTTATTTAGCCATTGACAACTGTTACGGAAGCCTGCAAACCTAGCACTCTGCAAGTCTGATCCTCAACTATTTCTGGTTTAAAAATATTACCATGTTACTCTTTATTAATAAATTAATAATCAATATTCACCATTATAATAGTTACATTTTTAATACAACTGAATAGTGTGGAATTCGTCAAATAATAAAAAGAAAATTAAAAACGCTTTTGTACTAAATCCCAAATCTGCTACGGCTTCAGACTTCTATCAATCTTGAAAGGATTTTCAATTCGCTATTCCAAATATGACATTTCATCGCCATTATACGGTTAGAAATGGATTTGCTTGACAAGTATAAAATTGATGATGATAAAAGCCGTCATGGGAGCTCTTAGTAGGTACTCGTTTAAAACAACGAGACCATGGATTAATGAATGGCCTAGAGAAAGCAGATTTGGGTTAATATGTAGAAACATTCAGGTACTTAGCAGTAGTAGGACCCACACTTTAAAAGTGCTAACTTCACAACGATAGTACATAGGAACGAATTTATCTTAATTACAGTTACATTTTTTATATACATATATAAATCTTAATATCCGAAAGTTGTAAATAATTTTTCAGCTTCAGTATGGGAAGCAAATTTCATTTTTTTTTAAATAATAAATATAAAATAGGATATCAATGTTAACTTACCACATTGCGTAACGCAGTTAAAATCCAGTTAATTTTGGATTACCAATTGTGGAGTTCGGAGGGCTGGAAACTAACATATAATGTGGGCGTAACTTTAACTCTCGCTTTAACCAAACCCATACTCATATAAACAAAATAATGCGAAGAAGTGTATACACAAATTTAATGTGACTTGTGAAATTTTAATCATTAATATAGTAAATATTAAAAATTATTCGGTGCAGATATTATACCCTCTAATTGTCCACATGTCTATGTATACATTTTACTTGGGGCACGCCCCTATTACGGTGCCCAATATTAATGGTCAGAGGACAAATCGTAGTGTTCAGAAATGATGGATGGGAGTTGAGCCATAATTTTTATTGCTCCTGTAAAATATTTCACAGCAATAATTTAGGATACTGCTCTTAAAGTAATTTATTAATTATACATATACTTAATTTTATTACCAAAATAAATGGAAGACGTAAAATCACATTTGTACTTATGTCTGCATATAAACACTAAGCGTGTTTCCACATCAAGACTTCACAATTCATTTTATATGCAAGGGCGATAGTTTACCTTCCGAGAACATTGACCTTCAACGACCTTGGTATTTTCGCTTTCTTACGGTACATTGAAGGAAAGGTAAAGGCATAGATATAAATTATTTAAATATAAACATAATTATCAACCAGAACATTATGAAAGAAAATTTCGCTTTTGAAATTAATATAGGTAAGTACGTAATTTTAAAGTATTTTAATAAACAGACCGCACAAATCATATAATTTTAATAAACACATATATACACCGCACAGATCGTAGCGGCGTTATCTTGAAATATACAGGGTTGTGTAAAAATACTCTAGTGTTTTAACTCTGTAAAAGAAAACAGAAAACGTTCAAATGCAGTTGGAATAAATTTATTTTCATTTTCTATTTGGAATTAAAAAAACTACCATAAAGAAAACGCATTTATTAACCCTACATAGTATGTAGATTTATTTAAACAATCCGTTACAAAAGCCCACATTAAGTAATGTTAATTTTTTTACATGACCATAGACTTCTGGGAACAATTATTATGCATAATTTATGAGAACAAGATCAGGTGTCGGTTTTAGATAAAGTTCTTGGAAGAATTTTGCAAATGTTGCGTCACTGATTACTCGTCTTATGTTAGTTTTAATTAGATGATTAATTTTTTTTAGTTATTCGACCCAGGTCTCAATAACTTCTGTTTCCAATGTCTAAAACCAATTAGTTCATACTAAATTAAGTAATTACGTTGTAAAATAAAAAATGTGGGCACGAATTCGTTATTAAAGAGAATAGATATCAAAGAAGCGCAAATATTTGCAAAAAAATAACACTAATAAAATAATGTAGTAGTACCTATCATTTGTATGCATGTCAACATACATTTCACGCGTTTTTTGTAAACAGTCTTGTCACAACGTATGTCAATAAAAATGATACAATGGATTCTTTCTACGTAAACTCTATAAACAATGTTTGACACCGGTGTCTCGTCGCCCGCATGAAATTTAAATCACGTTAGGGAGATATGGCAGACCCCCCCTGTACATTTTCCTTGCGGGAAACAAAAGATTTAGATTTCAGATATGGGGCCATCATATAAGTAGTAGCGGTTCTAAACACGTCATTCATTATTAAGGAGATTTTAATTAAAATCTATTGTCTTTATGGGAAAAGAACGAACATCTAAATTCTTAACTGGATGGACGGAACTTACCTTGTAAACCTGTCCGTAGGTCCCATTTCCGACAACTTCAATGAGCTCAAATATTCCTGCAGGTTCCTGAAATCACAAACGGCCTTAAAATAATGTGAAAATACTGAAAAAACGTATGGTATATTGATGAATCACACACCCAAATAAGTTGACAAGTTTACACAGAAATTAACGGGACAAAATGGCCGATATCTATGTAGGATTGTGGATAAAATTAAAGTTGCCTTTATTTAAAGCTGAACTTACCTTAAGAGCTGTTAAGTCAATCTCATCTAACGAACAGTTCACTGATGGGGGCATTTGATGCGCCATTTTGATTGAGTTCACTAACTTAATATCAAAATAACACCGTACAAGTTATTTAACCAAAGTTACACTAAGAATTTTGAAAAATACATTATAAATTTAGACATAGATTTTGTAAAATCTAATATCACACTATACTTAAGCTACAAAACACATATTCAAACAAAAAAATTGTTCTCATACAATACACAAAACATGTTTTTCATACTTTCGGCGCACCCTACAGTTCACTCGCGACAACCGCGACTGCCGATTGCCGATACTCAGAGATACCAAGTGTTGCCAGACTAACAAAAGTAAACTCCCCCATGTTTTACAGTTCCAGTGCAGTGCCGTAGAGTAGTTTGGGTGGTTGGGAAATGTCATTAATAAAACATTTTATCACTGCAGAGTTAACTTATTAAGTAACTATTGAATATACCTGTGTGAAGAATCCATTAATATTATTCTTTCTTTTGTTAGTTCTGAACTTTTCTTTGATGATGTCTTCAGTGCTACCTTATTTTTCAAATTATAATTAAACTATATAATACACAGGGTGATTCACAACTTATCCAAAAAAATTTGGGAATAGATGTGGCATGAGAAATGGAGTCAATATTGTAAAATCCTTATAGTTTCTGAGAAAAAAATTATTGAAGTTGTAGCATATTAAACCATCGCATAGCTGGACAACTGTAGTCTCTAGCATCATGTGGACTCCTTATACTGAAATCTGTCATTGCGGTAGTTTTTACCTGTTATCTGTGTTTACAACAGCTTTTTAGTAGTTAGTGTCAAAAATGGCTATGGTATTATGGTGAAGTATTTGTGTTATGGTGAAGCAAGACATTTGTGTTAGTTCGTAGAAAGTGAATAAGACGGACCCAAATGTGTTTACACGTGAGTGGATAAAATTTTGAATAATTGCTGTTGCAGCATCGGGTATGTCAAATGATTTTATTATTTAAAAACACAAATTAATTTTATTAATAATTAATAAAGGCAAAAGCATTTGAATTTGCCGATATAAAATAGGTGCGATAAAATTCTATTTACATATTCCTTTCCTTTCGAGTTTTTGTCCGTTTTTATCACACCGCGATACCGGTCGCATTGTGCGAGGTCAGGTTTTACAGTGGACCAGTTTCCAGTGCCGTGCAGAAGTGTATTTTTTACTCAATTTCGTACTGACGTTTTTGGTTTTTTCTTTACAAAATTGTATTTGTAAGAGATTTCATGTTTTATAAATACTGTCATTAGGTATTTATAAGTTTTCCACCTAATTAGGTATATTTATAAAATTGAAATTGGGCAAGCAAGATGAGGGAATAAAAAACGCATTTAAAAAATGCAACTATCAATTTATTTCTACCAAAATAAAGGCTTGTATTACAAAGGTTGGATAAAAAAACATGATTTTTATGTAATAAAAAATTATGAGCTATTACAAAGCTAAAGACTAGTAATTAGTTGACCATTTTCTTAAAAATTGAAAAATTTTATTAGTGAGCAGTTTCCACATAATTATTATTATGTGTTCCAGTATGACCCCATTATTTATTGCTTAATTATGATATGCAGTTATTAAAATAATAAATAGATAAAAACATGGCAAAGCTGATGAAAATCAAAAGTAATCATAACACTTTATAATAGTAAACTAAATTATATAAGAAGTTCTTATAAGAAGACCTATTTAAATATGGCTGCTATCTACATGTTATACACTGAAGATATAACATCAGAAATCTTATATATATAATTTTTTTTTGTTAACTATATCTTATATACTTTTACGATAAACTTTAACTGTACAATGTTAATATACTTTGATCTAAAAAAAAATTAGAGATTAAGGTTTCATAAAATATAAAATTGAAAAAATACTATACATATAATTTAGTAGTAAAAAACAAATTACTAGCTCTCAAACACAACCACCATTAATTGTAGACTAACAATAATTTTACTCCATTTGTTATAACATACCTACAGTACAGTAATAAAACAAAAATATACAAAATGTTTTATTTTATTGAAATTAAATCATTTTATCTTCTCCAATCAATACGACAGCATATTATGACAGAAATCTTGTAATTTTGTTAAAAATGTAGACTAACTTTAACCATAACAATTAATAATATTTTAATGAAACCTTCACTAGCAAAATGCGTTAATAACATTCGTTAACAAATTTAAATGATATAATTTGGATACCTAATTTTATATTAATTAAATAATAAAATAGATCAATCACAGACAATTCTCAAAATAATTTAAAGAATACAATATATATATCTAAGAAAACTATCTACACTCATTCATCCGTACACGACATTCGCAGGGGTTTATTAGCCACCATTTAAATTCTGTCCAAATATGTGAAAATCTGAAAATCGTGTACCTGATTTTACGTGTGGAAGAATTTAAGTGGCAGGTCAAGATGCAATGGACATTTTGTATGACTTACAAAATTTTTATAGTTCACCTCTAATTTGACATAGATTATTAAATTTATAAAGCTTAGTCAAGCGTTTTTGAGAAATTAATTGTTGAACCTAGAACTAGTATATCATACAAAGAATAGTGTTTATTAATCTGTTCACACAACATAGTGACAGTTTTGTAATGTGCACAAAGTTATCGAAACTTAATTCCATTGCTTTAATCATTTTCTTACATGCCTCGTTACATATCCCGAACTAATTTCTTGCACCATTTTTAAATCACAACCTTTATTCATTTTGAAGTATACATGCAGGAAAGAATATAAAACTTCGAGCGGCTTTTTTTTTTCATTCACAGTCGTCGATCATGCAAAGCGGTGTAAGCGCCAAAAGTGCTATTTGAATATTTTTTTAGGAAAGCAATATATACAAAAAAGTCATTACACACGATTTTTTTGTTATATGTGTGATGTGTAAGGATTTAATTCCAAAAGAGACTGGTCAATTTTCCTTTTGCCGCTTGCACCCGTTTGCAAGATCAATGACGTTATAACTGTGAATATGTTCAAGCATTAACTTGTTTAACTATTCTTAGTTACTTAATTCTATAATGCTTTTCAGTAATTTGCGATATTTTCAAATAGTTTGAAAGTTTTCTGAAAGGGTACTAAATTTCAGTTGAAGATCGGAAGAAACATAATCTGAAAGTTTTTGTATGAAAACTTGACGTTTTTTTAGAAACGGAAGCGAATTTCTACATCTTTGATGGATTTGTTACATTTCCCGAGAAGAAAAACAAAAGAGTTAAGAATATCGCATTTCAGTATCGATTTCGTTTGACATAGGACTTTTTTAATTTTTGATCATTTTTCGTGATGTCGAACCTTTCAGTTAAATATGAAAAAATATATTTTGTGAATACATATGAGGTCATTTTGGAGATCTCGAGGTCAGTAATCCCTAATTTCATATTTTATTTCACAAGTTTGTTCTGAAATTATACCTCATAAACGTTCGTTATCTGGGCCTGGAAATTATCCCCTAAAAAATTTTATGGGTCTAACAAAATGTGACCACTTCAATTTTCCCCTACCATCACACGTTATATGTGATATTTACACAAAAAAAGTTTTTTTGAAATAGGCACCAAAACTTATTTTAACAATTCAATTGTTTTACGATGCAATTAAGTGTACATGAATTTCTTTTATTCATGAATACATGAGACCAGATACACCCACGAACAATTAAGTATATCGGAGAACAGTGTTAAATTACAAAAGAATAATTTTTGGTGTCTACCTTCAAAATACTTACGAAGGGGAATCCAAACATAATAGAAAAAAATTTGCTGCAAGCGCCACTCTTGTAGTTCGGGCTTCGCCTGCTGGATGGGTATTATTTAATCACTCCTGAATCAGTCTGCCGACTATTTTGACTTTTTCGATTTTTTAAAATGCAAATTTTATTTCCTTCTCGGTAAAAATGCATCAGACATGGTTGATATGTATATTAACCCCCAGGTTGGGGTTCCAGATCGAGAACTGATGAAAAGATGGAAAAATGTGTGCGCTTGTGTAGGAGGACAGAAGGTGTACTATTAATGTACCTGCTGAATTGTATGATGTTTTGTGATTTGCAAATGGGACGAATAGCAGCGAAATTCATCCCCGGCTTGTTGATTGGACTCCTTGGAAGTAGGCTAGAACCTTTTTCAACAAAATCATCACCAGGAATGAATCGTTTTGCAGACATTCTGGAGGTGAAATGACAATTGAAGATGGCACTGCAAGGTATCGGAAAAAGTATGAAAGGTGTTTCGCGCAGTGGAAAAAATGTTTGATCGGTGTATTAGTATTAATGGAGAATACTTCGAAGGTGATTAACGTTTGTAATCCGCAAAAATAAATTATGTATTTTTTAAAAATGGTCTTCGGTTATTTTTGGGCCCCGCCTCGTATGTATTGTTTAAATATAATGTATGACTCATCATTTGCAAAATTTTAGACAAATTAAAAAAATTGTAAGTTAGCATCGTAACTTAAAAAAATATAGATAAATACTGAAAAAGCCACTGGATTCTACACAAGAATTTTCACAAATCAGAAAGTCATTCATGTCAGAACAAAAATGTCAAAAATGAAAAAACACCCTGTACCTTTCAAACGAGTCATGGTGCAGTTACCTTTTAATTTTTTTCTGAAAATCGGGCTCAAACCTATCTTTTTTCTATTTTCTCGGGAAACATGAAAAACTCTCTAAAAATGTCAAAATTGGCCTATCCTGTACAATTTTATCATTTCATCATCGTCAGCAGTTTTGAATTAATTCTAAGTGATATATTCTTCGATCAGTTCATTTTCCTTTCATATTAATAAAATTACACTAGTAAAATGATGTGCAAACCTATCATTTTCGGAATTACTAACAATGGGAAAAAACCTCAATATGTTGCGTGAACCAAAGAGCTCTAGGGACATCGACTGATATGACAGATTTTTAATGAATACGATTCAACCAAGAAAAGAATGATTGCTCTAATACATCAACTAATGCCCAAAAAATAAGGGTTTCTGTTAAAGTACTTATGTACAGTTACAAAAAGTTGCGATTTACAGAAAGTTTACCTTTTAGGCAAGTAGGTAAGCACTGTACTGGTTTGTTAAATATTCTAAATTGGCAACTTGAAAATAAATCCTAACAGCTAGAAAACAGTCTCATGTAAGACTCCAACAAACAGCTTATATACAATTCGCCAGAGCTATATATACTAGTTGATTCTGATTTTACACAGACATGATTGTGATACTACCTATTACACACAGTAAGTAATTTTTTGTGATAGCGGACAACAAAATTCTAAAAATTCATGCACAAATATTGGATATGTGAATATTTTATTAAAATCATACAAATTTATGATTTGCCACTAAATACTATTTATGCAAATGATTTTTTAACGAACTTTTGAATTGAAAAGTTCTTTTCTGCACAGAAACTAATATTGACTTTATCTACCTTCTATATTCTGAGAATTTTGTTGTCACAGCATTAATGCTTTTGTTTGTTTGTAAAAGCGACAAGTACTGAATAATCTAAGAATGGCACCATTCTGGTGAAATTTTATTACGTTCCCTCGAAACTTTTAACGGTATTTAAAAAAAAACTTGCTCTCATTTATCCAATAATTTCATATCTCTCACTTCGAAAGTCTATTTTTTTACACATTGTCTCTTAGTTAATCCTAGAAAATAGCATAAAAACAAATAGCAATAAAGGTATAAGCGTTGACGGCTTGAGAGACTTGTTTCCACCGGTGACGATGACAGTTGGAGGACTGGTGTGCACTTTGGGTCGATTTGAATTTAGATCGATCCTTGATACAACAGGACCCTGGGTGTCTGAAAAAAAAAGTAAGATTTAGTAACATCACTTTTTGGAGACACAGTTCCAAAATAACTATTTTTAGATTTCACAGTAAACACATTGTTTTTCAGAAGAACACAACTGACTGTCACAAAACCGATTAACATTATCATTACTTAATAATCAAGAACAGCTTCCATGGTAGAAAACAAATAAATTTAGAAAGTCAGGATAGTACAATTTTACTTCATTAAAATTATTGATCTTCAAAAAAAAAAAAATTGTATACTTATTCCACTTTCACTATTACTAATACAAATTTTTCTAAATAGCTTTATTTTTCAAAACACCAATCACAAAAGAGAGTGTCACAAAAGTAATATGTTACCCAAAGACTCGGTAACTTTAGTAATTTACAATGATGTCTCTCTAGGTTCCTTTTATGGTAAAAACTGTTGGCTAACCTTGCTTATTATTAAAAACAGACCCATTCAACCACCTCTTTAACTTAAATTTGGTTACCCTCTTTTTGTCGAGACATGTAAATTTTGATGACTGTAAAATATGGCCTCTGCTTATTTATTTCAAGATATTTTATAGAGTATGATTTCAAATTATATGAACTATAATATACTGCAGCTCACTTCCAAATTTTCTAAATTATAATTTGAAATGAAAATAAGAATAGTTAGGTATTATTTAAATTTATGATCTTCGAAGTAAAACTTGCACAATGACAAAAAATCACTTAGATAAAAAGTGATTAACTGGTAAAATAAAAACTGAGATATTTCAAGATTTAAAATGAACAAACCATCATGGTTGGGTCCATCTCCAGATCCAGAGCCTCTCATGTACTCTTCGTCCCTATCTTCATCTTCAATGTCAGGACCACTGCCAGATCCAGATCCGTCTACTCCATCCCTTTGCATGTAATCAGCATCTGAATAATTTGGCCCAAGGGAATTGACGGCCATCTATAAAAGAGTGATGTTGATATATAATAAACTATTGAACATCTTAATCTCTGATACAAGCAAATGATGAAAAAAAAATGTATAGTTTCGTCAGTCTTAGTATTTTGCACTATGAAAAGAAAACAAACTTTATTATAAGTATGTACGTTAAATTATTAAGGGTAGCGTATTACTAAGGAATTTTGAAGTAAAAAAAAGATTAAGATCAGTTTGCTGATCATTCTGATATTATAGGTTTTCATTTAAAAATTTTAAAATGTGCTTTATCCAGTAATTTTACCAATCAGTCAGTAAATTAGTTTTATTTAAGAATTCATGACAAATTAATGAATTTTTTATTGATAGAAAGAGAAAATAAATGCGATAAATAAACTTACGTGGTGAACTCGTCTCAATTTATCAACCAAGCTTGCTACTCTTGGATTAACACTTTGTATATTTGCGTTTGGCTTAACTTCTGGATTATACTTCTGCATGTCCAAACCTACGTCCACTACAGTTTTCGTGTATCTGTAAAAGAATGCAGAATTTAATTGAAATTATTTAATGATACATATGTAGAAAGTACAATATGCTACAGGGCGCTTAAAAATAAAAATGGTAGATACGTGAAAATTTAATATGTGTAATATATTTGGATAATCGACGTTATCTTATTACTTTTAAGTATTAATGAATATTAAGGAACAAAGTTTCTATCTGTCAGGCAGACTAATAAATGAAAATTTACCCAACAATTGCTCTTGAAGAATGTTAATAATTGTCAATTAAAAAAATTAAAAAAAAATTTATGACGATTTCATAGGCGCCGACTTCTCGGATGCTCCGGGGCTCAAGCACCCGCAAGAATTATTATCAGTTTTGTTAGAATAGTATATTTCTGTGCAACCTACTTTTACGTCTACATACTACATATATTTATATTTTCACTTGTTATTCCATAGAAGTTTATTTTTTGTTAAAATTATAAGATTGTTAAATTTTTGAAATTTGTATCGAAACAGTAATAAAGTTTATTTATTTTGACAAGTTTAATTAATTTCGATACATTTTTTAAAAAGTTCTTCATAAAATCTAATTCGGAGAAATAGGTATTTTAAATCTTTCACCTCGTGCTATTTCAAATGACGGCTCATTTCTCTTGCTTTTTAATGTTATCTGGCAAAAAAATGCTTAAAGGCAACCGAGCACCCGACAAAAATTTTTAAAGTCGGCGCCTATGGAAGATTTTCAGTACTATTGGAATATTTTGGCTGTAATCTCGATTCCAAGTAAAGAACACATATTCAACCCTACTTTTTACAAATAACTGGAGAGTACCTAAATATAATTAGACAAAACAATATTTTTTTTGAATATATGACTAACGAAAGTTATTTTGAGTGGAACTTTACAAATATCAACAATAACGGAGAACAATTTCATGTCGTCGCGGCATGGAATAGGAAATTCACATTAACGTTGGCAACAATGACGTTAATAAGTAAATTAAAGAGCAAGGGGCCCAAGACAGAATCTTGAGGAATACCAGATGTTGCATCAAATTTAACAGACTTGAAATCATAATACTCTACACCTACCGTTAAAATATGAAGTCAACATATTATTTATAATGGGGAAAACCATATGAATTAAGTTTATCTGGTAGAACACGGTAGTTAAGTTTTTAGAAACATCGGTAAAAATTACGTCAACATATTTGCCCATATCACTTTTAAAATAAAATTTAAAAAATTATGAAATAAGTGCAGAACCTAGCATGTTGCATCGTTTTAACATAGTGTGATTATACAAACCTAATAAATACATATGTAGGTAATAAAAAACCGATAAATGTAGGATTTTTTTTGTTAAGTTAAGTTATAAAATACTAATTTTCGAATTTTATAAAAAAGTACTGCTTAAAATAACGACACCTATACCAAGAGCTCAGGAGGAACGAAGAGCTGCGCCCAGAATCGGCAAAAATGATGTATGGAGTGCTTCCACATAGTTTTTAATGCACGCTCAGCTTAGGCCTAGAGGATATTGCCGAGTGAGACGACCATAAATCTGATCGGATCGCCCTGGGGTGGTGATTTACTAGAATGGTGCAAATATTTTGCCGCCATGTTTATTTATTGTAGGAATCGGCGACTTCCCCTCGTTTTCGATTTGGCGCAAAAGAGAATATATGCTAAGATGTGGCTCCCGATGGGATTCCAAAATTTGCCACGGAAGGAAAATAAAAGCTACTTAAAATAACGCATTTGATGTATGATATCTCGACGGCGGATCTCAAAGTTTCATGACGTCAAATCCAGGGCTGACTCTAGTCGCTGAATTGGGAAGTAGCATTTTTTATGCAAATAGCTCGGGGGAATATATTTCACCTCTATCTTTAGGTACCTTCTAGTTTTATCAACGTACCATGAATATGCTTAGGGCATATTATTTTAGTTGCTGTAAATTATGTTTTCTTTACAATTGTTGACATTATGTAGCAGGGACGCCAACTTACCACGTTATCAGTCATAAAAGAATAGGTAATTCGGCTGGGTAGAGAAAAGTGCATAATATAATTTTTATAAACATATTGATATTTTTGTATGTAGAAATAGGCAGAATATTAATTTTTTCGGGATAAACATAGAGTTTATCCCGAACAGTTTGTTTATTTTGCTTGGAATATTTAATTTAATTTAATTTAAAGGTGACAGTATAGCTCAAGTCACGATCCGTTCATCCGCTGACGGTTCTATCAAATATTCTTCCACGAATCTCAAATACACCAATGAGCTCATTTAGTATATTTTTTAAAATTCATATTAAATACACGTCATAGTTAGTTGAAGTACAAAATATGAGAATTTTCAACAATTTTTTCCTCAAAATTATAAAAACGGAGCACGGGAAAATGCATGACGCCATGTTGTGGTCTCATTCCATACGTTCGCGGCTATCCCAGATAAGCTTGGGTTATGCAAGAAAGGGATAAGTGACTGATAACTTGTCCCGTTCTTGAACTAGTGTATAACACAGGATAAGTGTATTTATCTTTAATTGGGTCCCAAAAGTAACAAATGATTTGAATTGTGCGCCATTTTCATTCCGAAGAGTTGGCAGTATTGTCACATGTTGTAGTAAACACGTTGTGTTTACAAGTACGGAGAACGTGTAGCTGAAAGTATGCGCAAATTATTAACTGTCGAATTTGGAGCAGAAACAATCCTCAGGTCATTCAAGAACGATCACTGTACACCCAAAGAGTGACGACACTGTGGTGTGGATTTTACGGTGGTGAGGTGATTGCTCTGTTCGTTTTTGTAATGAATCTTCACCCGCTCATCCATTATATAGCGCTCCATTTTGTCTAACCGCAACGTGCTTACTACAACCACATACTTCTATCGGATAGAAGTATGTGACTACAACATGTGATCCTGCTCAGTTCTGCCAACTATTGGGAATGAAAAAGGCGCACAATTTAAATCTTCCGTTACATTATTCAGTTTCTATCAAGTCCACAGATATCTGCAAAAATTTAACTTTTCAAAAAAAAAAATACTTATAACCTTCTTGCTCCCGAGTCTTAAATTGACGTGTGTGATACAGCGTTGCCTATTTTTTTTTTAAGGTAGAAAAATATTAATAAACATGGAAAAAACAAATTGTACGTTTAAAATATTTTACGAATTAGAAGTTATTTGTCACAGTTAACATTAAAGTGATCTACCCAATTTTTTCACCACATATTTAGAGGGTTAAGTGTTTACACAAAATGTAAAAACAAGTTATTAGTCGCTCAGGACACAACACGTTCTCAGTCTCTCACTATGGTATAATATAAATTCTACACAATACTTGAGCAGCTCGCGTGACAGTAAATACAATCCAGACGCGGATCCAGGGGGGTGATCGAAAATGGTCAGAAAAAAAATTCAAACATCAAACAGAATAAAATAATAAAACATTTTTCTGTAAAAACGCGTTTTTTAACTACATAACCTTTTTTTTTTAGTAAAATGAATGAAGATTTTCCTGATTGTATAACCTTTTTTTTTAATATCAATTATACAAACGCCCTCCCCAAAGTCCATTTCTGGATCCGCCCCTGGTTCAATCCGAATACTACCCGAACTTTTTGACCGTGAGCGTGGCGCGACTTGAGTTTCTAATCTGTATCGGCCTTTAGATAAACAAAATCACATTATTTAAATGCGAAACTGGGTCATACAGATGGACCGGAAAGGCAATTTAACTATTTTTGCACCGTGAGAACTTCAAACATGGCCGGGAGCAAAAGAAATCAAAACACTCACTCTGCGATCCGTTCGCCGTTCCAGCATTGCTGATCTTTGGGCTCAGCAAAGGATTCGTCCTGGCAGAGCGTCGTGGCGAGATTAGCATAAAAACCCCTAGTTTTGGCGATCGAGGTGAGAAAATGGGAAAGCTCGCTCTCCGGCAGAGGCGAGAAATTCCTGGGGTTGGTCAACCGCGGCTTGCCGTTGGGGGTGGCCGGCGTGGAGGTATTGCTTTCGGCGATCAGGGGGTCTGCTTTTTGGGAAAAATCGGCCGGTCCACAGCTCCTTTTCACCTGAAAATAAAGTGAAAAATAAAATAACTGCACATTGCAATAATCGTTCTAATAAACAGTACAAGAGGAGACCTTGCAGACAAGACTTCTAATTTTTTATATTGTGGGAAAGAACTACTCTGTGGGCTACATGCCTCAACCATCATTGAATTATACTAGCAATGTGTAGTAATTAACAATTTATAATTAATGAATATTGTACATCAAATCATAGGTATAAAATATTATAATTGTAATTATAGTTTTTCCGAAATCAGTTGAAAATGTATAAAAACGCCTAGCAATAAACTTTAATCAGTGTCATAGGCGTCCCTAAAACAGTTTTCTGTTAAAGGTAAACAATTATCCAAGTCAAGGTTTTAGTGGGATAAAGATCAATAAATAAAAAAAATTGTTGTAACGTCTTAGGTACTATTCAGCAGAATGACGTTGATTCTAATGTGTGTAGATATCATGCTTCTTTTTCCTCTTACTTTTTTCTTTTTCTTTTTCCCTTTTATTTTTACATAAAAAAAATAACAATTTTTACTGTGAAAGAAAACCGCATTGAAATTGTTCCATGAATTATAAATACACATATAAGTATCATCTTCTTAATATTTAGAACTGTTAAGTTGGACAAAAGACACTTCAAATTTCGGTGAGTGAATAATACCTGTTATTTTTAGAGTTGTTTTAAAATTTTTCTTTTTAGTGTTTTATGGTAATTGTGACAGGAACAATTTTTTAGAATTATTGTAAATGTATTTGTATATATATATTTTTATTTTTAATACGTTAACGAATTTTATTAAAAACATTGTTTGTATTTTAGAGCCCTGAGGATGGTGTAAAATAACACCGAAACGTTGGCAATGATTTAAAATATAGTGTTCTTTTATTTATTGATCTTTATCCCACTAAAACCTTGACTTGGATAACTAATCAAGATCGCAAAATAGTGGAAACATAAGTAAAAAATTATAATAATTTGTATATAATGTGTAGAAACTTTCTATTATCTATATGTTCATTTGGCCAACAACATATTTTAATTATTTATGTCCTCAAACAATTTTATTATATTGATGGTAAATTTCGTTTCGTTCCGTTTCAAAAGGTCTCCAAAATGCCATGTTGTAATAATATTAGTAAACAAAATATCCCCTCTATTTCTCCCTTCTCTACTAAAATTTATTGCCCAATCGCCCAGTTCGGCTGTGGTATACGCCGTTTGCCCAGACGCGCATTCAACTGGGCGTATACATTTCTACCATCTCCACGTTTAGTTCGACCAGACCTGAATATGGATATGGATTTTTCAAATATTTCAATGCCGAGTTGCTGCGTCAGCGACTGAACCTGGTACATACTGCCAACATCTTGGCTATGCAATTGAGATCGGAAAGACTAGCAATTATATTAATAATATTTAGACATATAAATTTTTACTTCCATTTTGGATAATCTTTAATTACTTGCTATTTGCTTTAATTATTGCTATTAGCGGTATAATTCAGTGCTAGTTGACAAATGTAGCCCATACAGGAGTACTTGTTTTTGAATGTAGGTAAGTCAGTCTAAATCATCTTATTTTCATCCCAGAAGTCCGTGGAAGAGCGGCCTCTCAACTTTTCTGGGACCCCCTGTATAAAGATAATTAATTAATGTTGTTATCAGTTAAATATAACTATTCATTGTAAACAAAAGAATGTCTTAATCAATTATGCTTATCGTTAAGCAACTCGAGATATAATTATAACAACATTTAATGAAGATATCAGAATACTCTTGTCTATATATTTCCTCAAGGTTATCCACTAAGTCTAGAGAAAATGTCGTGTATTAGGTACGGCATTCTTGATTAATTCCATGTTGATCAATTTTTTATTTTATTACTTTGCCCTTTTTTTAGTAAATGAAAACGTCGTTACAAAAATATTATCCGTTTAACTGATCGATTTTCGAAGTTCCGGTTGTGTCGCAAAGACAATGTATTGATAAAAGTGAGAACGAAGATATAAATTGCTGGAAAATAGTTGTTACTGGGTATTAAAATATTTAGAGTTTGAATGCCAGAAAACAGGAAATAGATAGAATTGCAGCAGTTATAAATGATATTGATCTTGAATTTTAAATGATAATTTTTATTTTTAATAATATCACGTAAAGTTATTGACAGTGTAAACTGTAGACGTTCAAGATATGGCAACAATGGATAATAAAGGGTATACACCTAGTTGCCCTTCAGCAGCTCGTAGACCTTACGTTTAAAATTTTTTTAGATATGTATACAAACAGAGTTTAATTAAAATGTTTGGCCGTTATTTAATGGCAAATTATTTGTCACAAATTAACATTTAATTTTAATTAAGAGCGCCAATAAATAATTAGTGTCTAGAATCGTCAGAATAACGAGTGACAAAAATTGGGGGCGAAAACTACTGTGCGTATTATATAGGAACTTTTTTTGTTGATTTAATTTTTAGCGTAGAATCCGTCAATAAAATCACAGACAAAATAGCTATCGCCACAGACCGCTCCTGGAATAGGTCAGCAGTTTTAAATTTCCGAATTGCCGGTAGAGTACACCACCAGCAGAATTTTAGGAAGAATCAAATACAGCGGCCCGCATACCTAAGCGTATCCTAGCAACATATAAACAAGACTTTGGTAATGTTGCCAGGCGTACTTACGGATTTCTTTTGTACACTTTTTTATCAATATCTGTTTTTTGCGTTACTGTATTTACTTCAATGTATGATGTAGGTATTGATAAAAATGTTTTTTAAAGAATCAACGAATATCTATATATGTATCATATGATATTCTGCAGTGGTGTTACCATTAAGTTATTTAATCATAATTTCGTTAATTAGCTACCTACTATTTTCATTTTTTTGGTATTGAAATACTGCAGAAAATATATTTCCAAATAAACAAAATTCGTAATAATATTTTAAACAGCTTGTAATATAATTTTTTTAATATTTGATGATGACGATAAATTTATTTAATATACAAGGTGGGTTATTAGTACGTCGCGGAATGTAGGTACAGGTTTTTTTTCCACTTATAGGTTTAATAATTAAAGATAGAAAGAAACTTTAAATACAAATGTACGACTTTTCCTTTATTTCATTTGACATCAAAATTTACTGGCATAAAATATATTTGTTTAAAATGAAAAAAATTATTAAAAAAAAATTAAAATTCATCCTTATGAAAATAACAAACAACGCTTTTTATAACTAACCTTTACAACAACATAAGGAGAATAACTAAAAACGAAATAACATTAATATACCTACAATTTTTACAAATCAACATACAAGTGATTGTGATGATACAGTTGAAAATATGTTTCAATTTACTATTAATTGCTTCAAAAACAAATTCAAAATTATCATGCATTTCGTCCTGTATTTTTTTCAATACTTGCAAATTTTCAGGTAAAAAAAAATATGTCTAAAGGACTGACAATGAGATCGGGGCTGTTTTCTGGCCACCTAAGGTTTCTAATAATATTTTTTAGTGTTCGTTGACGGGATTCTTCCTCCAAAATAAATTTGCCAATATTCCTGAAGAACTTTTGCACATTATTGTTATTTGAATAATACAGTTAATTATTTTTTTATTTTTCGTCATCAGAATAACCCATTGTAATTTTTTTTTTATTTTTTAAATTAAAATGGGTTATTCTAATAATGATAAATCCCATGTATTTTTAAAAAAAGGTTCGTTTCTGTCGCTTTTGTCTGATTGTGTGCGAGAGAGATAGAGTTATAGTGTGCGATAGAGATAGAGTGACTCTGTCCTCATAGAGAGCTTCTCTCTCTCTCTGCTGTCTTCAGGAGTCTCCCCAGCAATTTCAGGACATCTAGGGAGGGAACGTGGGGTAGAGCGCCTGGCCTTGTTAAGCCTTCGTTATCGATCTATGATGAACCGTACATCGTGGAGACGGAGGCGCGAGCAAAGACCACCAGGGCTAGGCTCTATCCCTTACTCAAAGGTGGAAACACCCTCAGTTTAAGGAATAAGCGAACGCTTATCAAGGTGGTACTTCAACCGCAGCTAACCTACGCCTCCACGGCGTGGGGTCACGCGGCAAAAAGCCACTTAAAGTCATTACAGGCTGTGGAAAACATAGCCCTCCGCACGGCCACCGACGCGCCCTGGTACGTAAGAAACACTGACATATTACGAGACTTACAATACACAAACGCTACACAGACAATAAGACAAAACGCGGAGAAACGATTTGACGTAGCCGCTAG